TAGAATGCGGTCTATGCTGAAATATACTAAAACATGCTAAACATTTTCATTCTTTGCAGAATTGAATATGCCGAGATATCCAAGATCCCAACTGTCAGTAGTTTTCGAGAAAAGCCTAGAGAATCATGAAGTATATGCAAGATCTATGCATTCTGCAGTAGAAGATGTTGTAAAAAATCAAATGTCATTGATGAATGCGTCCAAAAGCACGGTGTAAGCAAGTCAGCTCTACAGCGCAAAGTGAAGAAGTTCAAATTAGCTAATAAAGCTAATGAAGACAACACAAATGATTTTGAATATGGACGAACCATGGTTTCAAAGAATATTTACAAGTAAAGAGGAACAGCTATTGTGCGAGTACATAATTCAAGCTTGTGAAATGTGCTACGGCTTAACATTAATACATACTCGTGAATTGGCTTATAAGTATGCCATTACTAACAATAAAACGGTGCCTCGAACTTGGCACGAGAAAAAACGAGCTGGAGTCGAATGGTTGAATAATTTTAGGAAACGACACCTATGTTATCGCTTCGAAAACCAGAAGCAACTAGCCTTGGCAGGGCCACCAGCTTCAACAAGCATAACGTGGCTACATTTTTCACAAACTTGAGAAGTGTAATAACGAAATATAATATCCAGTCGAACCAGATATACAATTGATGATGAGACTGGTGTCACCAATGTGCATAAACCTGGGAAGGTACTTGCTAGCATTAAACAAAAACAAATTGGAAAGTGACAAGCGCTGAAAGAGGTACATTAATAACAATGTGCACTGCAATATGCGCTAATGGGACTTTTGTGCCTCCATTCTTTGTATTCCGAGGAAAATATTTAAGCCTTTCATGCTTACTGGGGCTCCTCTAGGATCAGCCGGTGCAGCGTTTCCTTCTGGTTGGATGACGGGAGATAATTTTTTAAAGTATATAGAGCACTTTATCAAACACGTGCGATGCAGTAAAGAAATCCAGTTCTACTTATTCTTGACAACCATGAGAGCCGTTACGATGTTCGTGTGCTGAATCTATGTAAAGAGAATGGGATTATTTTATTGACATTGCGCCCCATTGCAGTCATAAATTACAACCGCTAGACGTGAGTTGCTTCTTTCCATTTAAAAGTTATTATAACCAAGGAGTTGATGACTGGATGCTAAATCATCCTGCCATACCTATGAGCATTTATGATGTTTGTAATGTTGTTGGTATCGCCTACCTAAAGCATTCACTCCTGTCAACATTCTCAACGGATTTAAAAAAACAGGCATAGCGCCCTGAATTCCCAAATTTTTTCAGAGAGTGATTTTATGTCATCTTATGTCACTGATAGGTCCGAAGAAAATGAAAATGGTAATGAACATAAGGCTAACGAAGGTGTTCAGGATGTGGAGGATGTTCAGGATGTAGATGAACCACGACATGTCAGCCCAATTAATGGCCATCCAATATAATAACCCCTCAGCAAATTAGGCCACATGTCAAAGCTGCTCCTAGGAAAAACCTTAGAAGAAGCAGAAAGAAGTTACAATCAGCAATAATAACAGACACCCCATAAAAGATGCCATAGAGGAACAGCATAAAGAAAGATTGGCTAAAAAAACATTTTCAGAAGAGAAAAAGCAGAAAAGAAAGAAAGTTAAACGTCAAGTTTTTAATGACGACATTAGTTCGAACAGTGATGTTAGTGAAGAAATCTGCAACGATTCTAGCGATTTAGAAAGCTCCACATCAGATAATCAAGATTTGTCTATTCAAAGTCATGACTATGTTATAGTGAGATACATGACAAAAAAAACTGTTAAACATTATGTCGGTCAGGTTATTAAAATAAGTGGAGATGAATATAATATCTCTTTCATGAAGAGAATTGTGGCCGGCAAATTTGTTTTCCCCGATAAACCCGATGTAGATACCGTAGAAGCAGAAGATATTTTGTTAAAACTACCCCTCCTTCCATTAGTGGAAGTACAGCTAGGGCTGCTCGCCAGTTTATGTTCCCTGTTAATTTGTTACAATTTAAAAATAGAATAAAAGAGTCTTTTACTAAAAATCCCACTATGGACCACTATGATTCCCACAATGGACCATATAGTGGTTCATAGTGAGACGAGTGGTCTATAGTGGAACTTGTTGAATAACATTTATTATAAATAAAGGATTACTTGAAATTATTATTAGTTTGCTTCATTACATCCATACCCATGCATAGGTACCCTTACTATAATTTAAAAATGCTTAATCAAGGTGCTATACACTTTTGAAAAAAAACGTCCCACTATGGACCAGTTTACCCTATTGCAAATTAATTAGACAAAATAATTTTTATTTAATTGTATTTCGATTACTGAATTAGAAGTTGAAACTTCAATAAAGTTCTTTTTTAATTAATTTAATTAATATATTACATTTCGTTTACAACGAAACAGTTTTAAATATTTATAGTTTAAATATTTTTTAACTAATTAAAAATCAGTAAGATTAAGGTAAAAAATGGGCAGATATTATGGATTTATCTTAAATAAATAAAAGCAACAAAAACAAATTATTTAAACACCAAGTAGTTAAATACTCCAAAGTATTTAAATTTTGAAATACTGCTACTACTACAGCTCTGATACTAGTTAAAAATATGAAATCTGTAGAAATGGTGAATGATTGAGAAACAATTTTACCCAAAAACTTTGCCCTTATTTTTACATCTGTATACATAAAAATTTTTTGAAAGAAGGTGCTACGCAAGATATTTGGAGCGGTCTGTGAGAACGGAATATGGAGGCGTAGATATAACTTCGAACTGCAGAATATCTACAAGCATACGTTTGGTGGTAAAGATATTACCACTATAATTAAGCGAAACCGCCTGCAGTGGGCAGGACATGTAGTCCGGGCCCCTGAATCGAACATGATAAAAAATATTCTAACAGCGCAACCTGTGGGAATGAGACGACGGGGTAGACCAAAGCTGAGGTGGATGGATGGGGTAACCCAAGATGCGGAGAAGATCGGATTCGGCAACTGGAAAATTCAAGCAAGGGACAGAACAGAATGGCGTAGAAAGCTTGAGAAGGTCGAGGCCCTCTAAGGGCTGTGACACCAAGATGATGATGATGTATACATAAAAATTATTAGGGTTAAAGGGATGGATTGAAGTAATTATATTATTAATTTATAAAAAAAAATGTTCGCAACCAACAATACACATAAACCTCATTGACACATTCAGAAATGGATACAAATGAACTGCGCATGTCTGCACAGAATAGTGCTGATAGTGGGTTAGGCTCTAGACGTTAGTAAAAAAATCGGTAGATTTAAAAAACGGCGGTAAATTTAAAAAATGTTATTTATTTAATAAAAAAGGTAGAGAACAGTTAAAATTACGTTACAAAAAGTTAAACAATTATGAAAAAAATTTATAAACCAATCTAATTTTCAGTTGATATAAGTCTGATATACTTTCTGTACTTAATTTATTTCTCTGCTTTGTTTTTATTAAATTTATAATATTCCTTCAACATTGCCGAGGAGTATGGCAAATATAACTCTCTCACTTGATGACAACTAATAACGATAAATAATATCCTTTCCAAGACCGATTAAATAGTTTTATACTACATAAATACGGTATTCCCATATATCAATAAATATTTCCACCAGTTTAAATATGTTATATCATCCTAAAGCCGGCCACTCACGATACAGCGGTGTATTTCGACATAGTCGGACAGAGGCGTTGTTCAATTTGTTGGCATATCTGGTGCGCCCACACACCGCAGTATTTGTTCGGTTCTCGACCATTGCCAAATTTAACAATCATTTTAGCGTCTCTTACTTTTGTGTATGATTAAGCGTAAAAAGAAACCTAAAATTTGAAACGCAGATTTTGGTGCAAAGATTGCAAGATTTTGGTCCAAAATAAATCTCGTCTGATTCTGCACCTGATTTACTTGACTGCAATACTAATTTTAATTCTCTTTTATGGGATGTTCTAAAATTGTTAATTTTAGAACATCTTTGTTTACTTCTTGAAACTTTAAAACTAGAATGTCCATTGCCTGTTTTCGGGCGTTTCTATCGTGATATGTTTTACCTTTGGTTCGTCATAAGCATTCTTGTTCTTTGTATAATTCAAAAAACTCTCTTAAAAAATTCTCGCTAAATGAAGCCATGTCGATTTTATATAAATGAACGAGGCAAGTGTTTAGTTAAAAATGTATTTTTGCAGTATCGACAAATTGTAAACGGTCACACACGCTCAACAAATTGATGAGATCAACTACTCTGCACTACTTCAGCAGACAGGCCAGTCTGTCTGCGGTCAAATTGTACGATTTCATTGGATGCACGGTCACACACGATCAAAATACGAAGTTGAACAACGCCGCCGTATCGTGAGTGGCCGGCTTTAGACTAATGCGTCAGCGGACTTCCGAATAGTTTTAAGAATTTGTTTGTTTGTATTATTTGTAGGAAAATCGTAAATTTGTAGAGGTAGGATTGTATGGTAAATCAAGTGATGCTGGCATATTTAAACATTCAATATTTCATTCAAACAAAAAATAAATAATTATTACTTAGCCTTTTCTTTTCCGCAATTGAACTGTTTTCATCGGCAAATAAATATACTATATCCTCCCAACATTTTCTTCTTAGCACTCTATCACTATTCCTCATATTCCAACGTGCTGGTCGATTTTCTACTTCGGTAATAAGTTTATCTACATTAAATTTTTCTCCAGCCATTTCTAAATTCAAAAATCGAGACTAAAACGCGCGCGTTGTGTACATGGCTATCAAAACACAATAAACACCCAACAACTCTCGTTTTTAAAACAGATGCGATTCCAGACATCTACCACCAACCGACTCTGTTTTGAAACCGCTTTGGGAAACGAGGCGGTCCGAACCGCTGTGTATGTTTTACACCATTATAATTCAACCAAGTGGCTCATCTGCATCTCTGACCAATGTGTCCTCTACTTTTTTTTAAAATGGGAACTAATCGGATTCAAAACTGAAAATGTTTATCTCTTGGCAAACGGAATATGTGTTTGAAACTAAAAACATTTGAACTGCAAATATTTAAATTTGTTTTTTTAAATTTCCGAAGGGTGGCCATGGCCCCCTCTCTAGATTCGGCCTTGCGTAGTTCAGAGATAATTTTCCTGAAACCCAAACTTGTGCAATTTTCAGACTGGTGCAGAGTAAAGGGACAGCTATCAGGCGAGACAAGAACTTATCAGCAAGTTTATTTGCGCAACTACAGAATTTGTTAACGATATAAAAAAGGAAGAGGAAACGATAACATGTACTGACGAAAAAAAGTTATATTTACATTTACGAAAAAAGTTAAAATGTTAAATAAACTGATGTATTTTTTATGTTTTGTTTGACCACCATTACTCAATAAAGTGACCATCAATTATGCCATAACTAAGTGTTCACATTATTAATTTTTGAATTATTTTATATTTTAAGTGTTAATCTCTAGTGTGCATTCTTAAATGCTTCGATAATTTAGCATTTTCAGTAAACTGTTTGTTGTGTTTTTTGTACTCCATAGGGTATTGGATTGTATGATGAATAAAGATTTTTACTTTTTGTTTTTTATTTTTCACACATGGATACATCTGTCATATCTAGGTTATATGTCAAGTCAAAGGTCTTCTTCTTTTTTATATTAAAAATCAGTTGTACCAACTGCTGAGTACAAAAACATTAAAACATAAAAATCCTAACATAGCCCCCCTTTGAAGGGAACCTTCAAAATATAAATAATGTGTATTTCACGATAATTGTCTTTATTAATTTTCACTTGAAGCTTCATCTTGGAGAGGTAGTGGATGTAGATGTCTCACAGATCGTTTTAGGACACCTTTTGTAGTGAACACAAGGGATACTCGATGAATACCATCTGGACCAGGAATCAGCTGCAAAATTCGACCTAGTTGCCATTTTTGTGGTGGTAAGTGGTCATTACGGATTAATACCAGACTCCCAACTGAGAGTTTTGACTGTGGAGACTTCCATTTATATAGTTGATGGAGCTGGCTGATGTATTCTTTTGAAAATCGATTCCAAAACTGTTGTTGCAAACGTTGAACAGCTTGAAGTCTTGTGGTTCTATTTTCTGCTACTTCCAGTAAGTCTAAGGAAGGAAGAGAAGTAATAGGATGGCCCAAAAGGAAGTGGGAAGGAGTCAAAGGCTCGTAATCATTTGGGTCATCTGAAATTGCATAGAGCGGTCTTGAATTTAGAATGCTTTCAATTTGAATTATGAGTGTTAAAAACTCTTCATAGGTTAAAATAGAATTTACCAGAGTCCTTTTAAGATGATGTTTCATTGATTTAACTGCGGCTTCCCATAAGCCACCAAAGTTAGGACTGTAAGGAGGAGAAAAATGCCAACTTATATTATTGCTAGTTGCATAATCTATTAATGTATTATGATTATTTTGAATAAACTTGTACAATTCATTGAGTTCATTATATGCACATTGAAATGTTTTACCATTATCAGAATAAATGTGGTTGGGTATTCCCCGACGTGAAACAAATCTTCGCAGACATGCTATAAAACATTCTTTCTGTCTTTTATGTTATATGGACCTGCATAATCTATTCCAGTGACTTGAAATGGAAAAGATGCTTGAAAGATGAAAAAAAAAGATGAAATTCTATTATTATTGTAATCTATTCTATTATTTAATTCTATTATGAAATTCTATTATTATATAAATTCAATTCTTGACAATTTTTTTTGCAAGAATTTTCCCCCCAATAGGCCAATATTTTTGTCTGACTGTTGCCAATAGTAATTGCGGCCCTGGATGTAATAAATAGTTATGTTTATGAATAAAAATTAGTTTAGTAAATGGATGATTTGAAGATATAAGGATAGGATGTTTAATATTTGTTTGTAAATTAGTATATTTTAATCGTCCCCCTACACGAAGAATACCTTGCTCATCCAAAAAAGGACATAAAGAAGATAATTTATGGTTACGGGGTAATGGTTTATGAGACAAAAGAATTAATGTGTCATTAAATGAATCCTTTTGAGCTAGTTTGATTAATGTTAGCAGTGCTTGATCAACTTCAATTGCTTGTAACGGACCCAAGTATTGATTGGTTTTATTTTTTGAATTATGGATAAATCTTTTACAATATGCAATTGTTCTGACTAACTTTAAATAACTAGAAAACTTTGTAAATATTTCTAACGAATTGACAGAAATGTTTGAAAGAATTGTTGTTGGAATCTTTTTTAATTCTGGTAATTTTGATTTGGATATATTAAATGAATATTGAGGCCATTGACTGTTTGGTTCACATAAAAACTCTGGCCCTGTCCACCATATATGGTGGTATTTTAATTTGTTTGGTAGTATGCCTCTGGAGGCAACATCAGCAGGATTTGTTTTTGTATTAGTATAACTCCAATTTGAGATAGAGGTTAAATTTTGAATTTTTGCCACTCTATTGCCCACAAAAATTTCTAGACGGTTTGGATCTGTTTTTAACCAACAGAGCACCACTTGTGAATCAGACGAATAATAAAATGGTATATCATTAGGAAGATTGAATAGTGATGTTTTTACTTGAATAGATAATTGTGCAAGTAATAAGGCTGCACATAATTCCAATCTTGGAATTGTTAATGACTTAAGTGGTGCCACCTTGGTTTTCGAGCATAATAATTGTACATGAAATTCTCCTTGAAAATTTGAACTGCGTGCAAAAATGCATGCAGCATATGCATCACGAGAAGCATCACAAAAACCATGGATCTCTATCAGTTTATACTCATTTTTTATAACATATCTAGGAATGGATAATTGATTTAATTCTGACAATTCAGTTCTAAACTGTTGCCATTGTAAAGATAGATCATCTGGAATGGGTTCATCCCATGCCATGTTTAATGACCATAATTTTTGTATCATTATTTTTCCTAGAATTATACAAGGGCTGATTAAACCTAATGGATCATAAATTTGTGCTATATCTGAGAGTACCTGTCTTTTTGTAAGTGAACTTGTTAATGGATAAATATTTTTATTAATTGAATATTTTAAAACATCTAATTGACTGTACCAGTAAATACCTAATGTTTTTGAAGCATCATTTTGTCCTAATTTTAATATGGCTAATGAATCATCATTACTGGAAATGGTTTGAAGAACATTTGGATTGTTAGAAGTCCATTTTCTTAGAGGAAATCCAGCAGAGTTTAGAATGAATGAGACTTCTTGACATGTTTGAATTAATTCAGAGATACTATTAGAACCAGTGAGTAGATCATCTACATAAAAGTCTTTTAGAATTGTTTGTGATGCTAATGGAAATGAATTTATATGTTCTTGAGCTAATGTTTGTAAACATTTTATTGCTAAATATGGAGCTGAAGTTGTTCCATAAGTCACTGTATTTAGCTCATAAACTGAAAGGTCTTGTTCTGGATCATCTCTCCAAACAATTCTTTGTAATGACTTATGATCATTGTGAATTAAAATTTGTCTATACATTTTTGTAATGTCTGCAGAAACTACATATCTACACATTATAAATCTTAGTAAAATACTGATAATATCATTTTGGACTTTTGGACCAATGTATTGTAAATCGTTTAATGAGTAGCCTGTAGAAGAAGCACAGCTACCATCAAAAACTACACGTAGTTTTGTTGTGATACTTTCTTCTTTGAGAACACCATGATGAGGTAAATAATAGTATGTTTTATTAGGATTATCTCGTGACATATCTATCTTAGTCATATGATTTAAAGAAATATATTCTTTAATAAATTGTGAATATTGAATTTGAAAATTGTTGTTTTGATTAAATCTTTTTTCTAGATTTACAAACCTGGTACAGGCTGCATTGAATGAATCCCCTAATACATCAGGAGATAGTTTTAATGATAACTTTACTACAAAACGACCCTCTTCATTTCTAGTAGTATTTTTGTGAAAATGATTTTCACAATCTGATTCATCTTTTGGCACAACTGAATTTACAGGTACTTCTTCTAGTTCCCAAAATCTTTTTAATTGAGCATCTTCTGAATAAATTGTGTTTGCAAAATTGCATCTGGATAATGAAGTTGATACAGGACTTTTTCCTGAAACAACCCAGCCTAGTTTAGTATTTTGTAAAATAGGTAACCCGTTACCAAGATATATTTTTCCTTCTGTTAGAAGGTCCCAAATAAGATCTGCACCTATAAGCATATCACTCTCTCGAGGTTCAAAAAATTGTTCATCTGATAATTGAATATTTTTAGGGATAATTAAAGATGGGTGGATTAGTTTATGTGCAGGTATTTCACTGCATATGTTGGAAATCACATAACATGAAATTGTTGTTTGATAATTGTCAATTTTAGAAAAAATAGTCAAATTGCATTTTTTTGATAAATGTGATGTTACTTGATTAATTCCAACTATGGATAGTTTTGAATCTATTAAAAGTATGTCAATTTTATTGCAAAACCCTTGTGTAATTAAATTGTTTTGTGAACCACTGTCTAATAGAGCTCGACAGTAATGTTGGTTGCCTACTGTATCTTTTACATAAAAGCCTACAGTGGATAATAGAATTTGTGTATTTGAATATTGAGGTTGTATGAATAAATTAGTAGATGTTGGATTATTGGATTGTTCATGAATTAATGAATTATGTTTTACATTGCAAATTTTGCAAGGCCCTAAATAGCATGATTCAACCTTATGCCCTGTCCTCAGACAGTTTACACACAACTGTAGTTGTGAAATTGATTCTTTTCTTTGATTGATATTTAGTTTTAAGAAATCAGAGCAACTGTATATTGTATGGTTATTCTTTTTACAAAAATTACATTTTTTGTAATTATTATTTGAGTTATGGCTGTAAATTGCTAAATTAAAATGTGAATGATTTTTTGTTTTGTTTGGTTTTATATTAGAACTAAGATTAATGTTTACATTTGTAGTGTTGTGTACTCTATCCACTCTCTAAAAGTATTTTTATCTAATTTTGATGAAACTAAATGTATAATTAGAAAATCCCACAACTGGTCTTCACTAATACCTATGTTTTGTAAAGATACAAGATTTTTTGATACATTGTCTAATAGTCTACGAAAACTGGTTGAGGATTCTTTAGAACAATGCTCTATGTTAAGAATTGAATTTAAATGACTATCTACTAAAAAATACTTTTTGTCAAACCTGTCTAATAATGCGTTCCAAGCTTCTTGATATAAATTATCAGTGAATGGAATTTGATCGATTAAACTTTTTGCATAACCTTCTAGTGATGCTCTCAATAAAGAAAATTTTTGAGCATGTGTCAATGATGCATTCTCATGTATTGTTGAAAGGTAATTACTTTTAAACTCCAGCCAACTGTCATAATCACCTTTAAACATTTGAAGTTTAATTTTAGGTAAAATAATATTTTGTAATGGATCTTTATTATAACTATTACAACTTAATGAATTGTTACTAGTTTGATTTGCAGACATACTTTCTATGTATGTCTTAAGAAAACTTAGAGTATCATAATAGCGCTTTTTAAATTGTTCTCCCTCCTTATAGTTCTCCTCAAGTTGTTGTTCAGGACAATTTACCTCTATTTCTAATTGAATGATTTCAAAGTCTTTATCTATTAACTCTAATTCGTTAATTCTAATTGTAGCATCAGTTAATGAAGGTTTCCTATCTGGTTCTGATGTTTTTATAACATCTATAAACTTTTCTAACAAAGTTAACCGCTTTTTAAGTGAACCCCTAGTTCTAACACATTTTGCTAAATCAGACATGATTATTGATTAAAGCCTCTAAATTGTGAATAATAGATTGGATAATCAGTAAGGTAAAATAGGAAATAGAATGAATGACTTACGATTACCTCCTGTGTGTGTGTGTGTGTGTGTGTATATATGTAGAAGACTTCAATCTGAATTTTTATAAGTTCTTGTGGGTATTTTTTGAAAATAGCTGTTTCTGGATGTATCCGGCTCGAAGGACCAACAAATGTTGTGTTTTTTGTACTCCATAGGGTATTGGATTGTATGATGAATAAAGATTTTTACTTTTTGTTTTTTATCTTTCACACATGGATACATCTGTCATATCTAGGTTATATGTCAAGTCAAAGTTCTTCTTCTTTTTTATATTAAAAATCAGTTGTACCAACTGCTGAGTACAAAAACATTAAAACATAAAAATCCTAACACTGTTTAAAACAAATTTTACACTTAAGGCTTTTCTCCAGTGTGTAATCTTAAATGCTTTTTTAAAGTTCCAGCGTAACTAAATTGCTTAAAACAAATTTTGCACTTGTAAGGCTTTTGTCCAGAGTGTATCCTTAAATGGATTTTCAAACTTCCATCTTGACTAAACTGCTTATAACAAATTGTACACTTGTAAGGCTTTTCTCCAGTGTGTGTCCTCAAATGATTTTTTAAACTTCCAACTAGACTAAATCGCTTAGAACAAATTGTACACTTGTAAGGCTTTTCTCCAGTGTGTATTCTTAAATGATTTTTTAGAATTCCAACATGACTAAATTGCTTAGAACAAATTTCACAGTGGTAAGGCTTTTCTCCAGTGTGTATCCTTAAATGCGTTTTCAAATCTCTATCTCTTCTAAAATGCTTAGAACAAATTTCACACATAGAAGGCTTTTCCTCAGTGTGTATCCGTAAATGCTTTTTCATATTGCTAGCTTCCCTAAATTGCTTAAAACAAATTTCGCACTTGTGAGGTTTTTCTCCAGTGTGTATCCTTAAATGGTTTTTCAAACTTCCATTTCGACTAAATTGTTTAAAACAAATTTCACATTTGTAAGGCTTATCGCCAGTGTGTATCCTTAAATGATTTCTTAAACTTCCATCTTGACTAAATCGCTTAGAACAAATTGTACACTTGTAAGGCTTTTCATCAGTGTGTATCCTTAAATGATTTTTTAAACTTCCAACTAGACTAAATCGCTTAAAACAAATTGTACACTTGTAAGGCTTTTCTCCTGTGTGTATTCTGAAATGATTTTTTAACTTTTCTGCGTCACTAAATTGCTTATAACAAAGTTCACATTTGTAAGGCTTTTCTCCAGTGTGTACCATTAAATGTCTTTTCAAACCTGCATTTCTTTTAAATTGCTTAGAACAAATTTCACATGTGTAAGGCTTTTCCCCAGTGTGTATCCTTAAATGCCTCTTTAAATTTCCTGCTTTACTAAATTGTTTAAAACAAATTTCGCACTTATAAGGCTTTCCTCCAGTGTGTATTACCGACGTTTTTTTGGAATTTGTTTTTAACTCGTTCTGATGTAAACCTAAAATAGAAATCAAACTATAAAACTTTACATGCAGAAATGGCAAATCATAAACAAAATGTAAAAACTCTAGAATAAATAAACAAAGTAAAAAATCAAACTAAGACAAAAGCTCAGATGATGATGACCAGATGGCAGCTATATATATTCTTTATCTCTAAAAGTTTATCTTTGCTGGTTAGTATGCTAACATCCAATCTATTTGGTGCTAAGTCGTGAAACCCATGTTTCTATGTATTTGTATCCATTGAACTATTCTATTTCTGGGTTTGCTGTATAATTTTTTTTTGTGATGCTTATGATGATTCTGAGCTGATTTCTGCTTGTTTTATGCAGTGCTTCAGCCCTATTACATGTTCATCCAATATACATTTTCCCATGTGTTTGATCAGGTATATTTTCGCAATGACAATTATGTTCACAGCACATTACTCTCTAGCATGATATCTCATAATACCTCACGTTGCCCAACCTTTAATATAAACATTTGGTGTAAAATTTAAAAATGAATATTCTGAATAATAAATTATTAAAAACATTTAGACCCAATGAACAATGAATATAGCCGTAAAGAAACAAATCAAAAATTATTCAATACAGGCAAGTCCATCGAGGGGCCCAGACTGAACCAACCATTAAGGGTATTGAGCTTATAATTTCTTATATATCTTTTATTTAAGAACCTTTAATATTTTGCCTTAAATTGATTTGGTTTGAATGTCCTATCTTAAGTTTCATACTTTTAGAATGCCAAACTGGCAGTTACAAAATATTGGCACAAAAACTATTGATTTCTTCTGTATGAATGTAATAGCAGGTACTTACATATTTATGCACTGACACTGAAGTTAACCAAGGTAACTATTTAATAAAAATAAAATTAATTGAAACCTGCTTCCATTTGAGAAGTGCAAAAGACATTTACTTGTTTCTAGTTGAGAAGCCAAGAGGGAGTTTTGAGTAGTGTGCTTCTATTTGGGAAGACAAAGACTACTTAAGTAAATTAAGGGCAGTTTGGTTTGAATGTGAAAAACTGACAGGCGCAGGAGATATGAAACAGCATGAAGAAAGCACGCCATGCTGATTATAGGTCTTTAATTTAGTGAGATGGGAAAATGAAATACCTTTAATCATTATTATTTAGTTATTGAACAAACTATTGTGGAAAAGACAACTAATTTTCTAAAACAAGTTTTAGTTTAGTTTGGTCTGTTTGGTGGAAAACCTCAATTAGAGGCACATTTAGGTTCTTTGAATTATATATAATTAACTGGACAGTGAAGTTGTTAAATTTAGCAACCCATCTAATCATAAGCACAGGAGTAAAGTTGTAAGATGTATGTAACTTCTTTCTCAAAAAATGTTATAAAAGCTTTTAATATATCAAAAGTCATTTTATGCTACAAGCAGTATGGTAAATATAGTAATTTTTTCAGAAAATATGGAGTGATTTTTGAAAAAACTTTGCTAAAAATAGCTGCTTAAAACCTTTTAAATATCTTTTTTAACTATTGGCAACAATTTTGCCATTTCATGGTACTTTTTGTGAAAAATAATCTCTTTTAAATGCAAAACATACTTGTATATAAATGCATAAATACATAAATGCAAAGATACCTTGTCCTCCATCTTTACCAAGATCACCCTTGGAAGAAATATATCCAATCCAGACCAAAAGAATACAGCTCAACTTAAAATTTCAGTACATTTATTGGTTCCTTGGATGGAAATGAAAACTTAACATCCAAAATACAATTCTTCTATATAAAACCATACTCAAACCTAACTGGATCTACAGACTACACCTATGGCTCTTTGGAAAGCCAACATCACTGAATATCATTCTAAGATTGCAGTCTAAAGAGCTAAGTTTGATAGTGGATGCAATATGATGTGTAAGTAACCAAACACTTTACTACTACTGAAGGATTCCTTTAATCAGAAAAGCAATCCATTGAGCCATGGAGTCACAAAATGAATGTACCATTCACCATGAAAATGAGCTAGTTGGGGAATTATTCAACAATGGTCCAACAACAAGAAGACCAGATAGAACCTGGCCCCAAGACCTACTTCAAAACTAAATCAAAATAGAATAAGGTGAGATATTATTGGATGTCTCTCCTTCACACCCAAAACCAGTAATACCAGTAACCAGTACTTAATACTCTGTAATGATGTAGATTGTAAATAAACATAAATATAATAATAAATGCAAAACATATAAAAAATCAATAATCAGTAACTGAAGCAAAAGTAATATACATTTTGTTTACTTATTAAACTCATATATATATATATATATATATATATATATATATATATATATATATATATATTAAACTTACTTTTTTTACTAACATCCGATAGTAATTTTGATGTTTTCATACTTGTACAATGTTTTTCATGATTTATCTCAGTTGAAGCTCTTATCTGTAACTTTTCATCTCTATCTGAGTCTAATTCTTTCTTATTCGTACTTTTACACCCATAGTTTACTTCTAAATTATTTTCATCTAGTTCTTGTTTGATTTCTATCTTAACTTCTTGTTTGGTAATGAGGGGGAGTGGGCTACTTATTTCACTTTGTAACATATTATGTTCTTCTATTTTAATATTGTCCGAAAAACACGAGTCTGATAAAGAATCCACTGTATAATTATTTTCAAACATGTATTCTTCCAGCTCTGATTTAATTTGTACATTAACATGTTTCTCTAGAGAATCTTCATCTTTGTGAGATATTAAAACATTTTGTTTTATTTTTATAGAATCTTCACTTAACTCCATTTCGAATTTACAAAATGTTCTAATGTGTATAAATATAATAAAACCGAACTATTCTAAATATATTTCTGGATTGCTATTATTATTATTTGTCAAGTCTGCTAGTGCTTGCTGATGGAGATGACAAATGACTTATTTGACAGTGAACACAGCACATTAACTGTGTTCGTTAGTTGTCTGCTACGGGTGCGTTCCACTTAACGCCCCTTAAGCCGTTGTGTAGTAAACAATCGAGGGATTTGTTTTATAACGCAGAAATTAAAGAATACACCACCCATGTTGGGTGTATTCTGTGCAAAAACGAATACGATAATAAAAGTCGAATTAATGAACTACCTAAGTCTGAGGTTGTATTTTTAAAATTTATAACATATTTGCGAAATCCCATTTTCTCAATCATAGTAATGAAATGTGCTAATATAAATGCAAGGTTTCGCCACTTCATGCTTACGATCCCCTCCAAGTACTTGGACACGGCGAATAAAGTTTTTCTTCTGTGTGTACTATAAGGTCGGTCCGATAAGCGCTTATCCTACAAAAAAAACGAAAATTTTGAAAAACATTTATTTATGAACATAGTCTCATATTAGCTCGATACACTTGACCCAACTATAATTTTTTTAACATCATCATCTTTGGCTCGACAACCCTGGGCAGGTCTTGGCCTTTTCAAGAATTACTCTCCATTACCTCCTATCTTTCGCCCTGGCTTTCCAATTTCTGACCCCTAGATTCCTCAAGTCATCTTCGACTTGAGTTTTGAATCTAGATCTTGGCCTGCCTCTCTTCCTGCTGGCTCTTGATATAATATCTGTTTTTATGGGTCCCAGTGTCCATTTTCAAGGTGTCCTAGCCACCTTAGTCTATTAATTTTAATAGACCGGACGATGGATGTCGCATTTTTCATATCATTATTTTTTTAACATATCTGAAAAATACGGTTTCTCGAGGTCTAGATAGTAGACTTCCATGACGAGTGACTTTTTTAAGTTTTAAAACAAAAAGAAGTCACACGGAGCCAAATCTGGAAAATACAGTGGACGTGGCAGCAATTTGTAGCCCAATTCGATCAATTTGATCATGGCGACGGCATAAGTTGGTATGTTGTCATGGCTGAAGAGCACTTTTTTTCCCCAAATGGTGTCGTTTTTTCTGCAATCCGGCGTAAAGTTGACCCAATAATTCGACATATAAGAGCTCTGTGGCTATTTTGCCCTTCTCCAAGTATTCGACGTAGATCACACCTTGTAAAATCCAGAAAATTTTGGCAATAGTTTTCTTTCGCTTCTTTGATCAGAGAAGCGAAAGAAAAAAAGCAAGGGAAAGATGCGAAGACATTGAGACTCTGCAGTCAAAGTACGATAGTCACAATGTACATAGGAAAGTTAAAGAACTCACAGGGGGACTAAGACGAAGGCAGAAAGAAAATATAACTGATTCTGATGGAAACATCATCTTGGACAAACAAGTAAAATAGGAACGTGGAAAGAATATCTAGAAAAACTATTTGAAGACCAAAGAGATAACACCTTTGAGCTAGAAGAAAAGGTAAATAATGGACCAAGAATATTACAGCAGAAAGTTTATTCCGCAATAACACAGTTAAAGGATGGCAAAGCGGCAGGACCTGATAATATATATGCAGAACTACTTAAACTATTGGACAATGAATCAATAGCAATAATCGCAAAAATATCTGGAGAAATACCAACAGATTGACTAAAATCTGAGTTCATTGCAATTCCATAAAAACCAAGAGCCAAAAAATGCGAAGATTACCGTACTATAGGCCCCATGAGTCATCTCCTAAAATTGTTTCTAAAGATAATTCATAAGAGAATCTACAAGCTGTATGAAAGTCAAGATTCCCCAAGCAGTTCGGGTTCACAAATGCTGTTGGTACTAGAAAGGCTTTGATCTCAGTACAAGTCTTATTACAGAGATGCAGAGACGTCAACTGCGACGTATACGCATGTCTGGTTAATTATGAGAAAGCGTTTGATCGAGTACAGCACGCCAAGATAATGCAAATACTAAAAGAAGCAGGAATTAACAACCAAGATCCGAAAATAATTAGAAATATTTACTGGAATCGACAGCAAATCTCAGAGTTGAAGGTGAAATACACTATGTGAAAATCATGCGTGGAGTGAGGCAAGGCTGTATTTTGTCTCCTCTAATCTTCAATATGTACTCTGAAAGAATATTTATCGAAGCTTTGCACGAAACTGAAAAAGGTATTCTACTAAATGGTTACCGGCTAAACAACATCAGATGATACCATATAATATCTGCGGACAACTTAGCTACAAGTTCTTATGAACAAAATCACGTATTACAGACAACAATATGGACTCAATATAAATGTTAAGAAGACAAAGCCTATGATAATTAGCAAGAAAAGGATAACAGAAGGTCAACTCTACGACGACTAATCCCCTGTAGAAAGAGTGACGCACTACAACTATCTAGGCACTATAATAAATGAAGAATGGACCAACAACCAGATTAGAACACGCATCGGAAAAGCTAGATCCACCTTGAATCGGATGGGCGCCTTCTTTAAGAGTCACAACCTCTCTCTTGATATAAAAGTAAAAATGCTGCGATGCTACGTCTTCTGTGTCCTTTTTTATGGTGTTGAATCGCGGACCTTGAACGAAGATATGTGTAGAAAACTGGAAGGATTTGCGATGTGGAAGAATACTTAAGATCCTGTGGACTGACCGAGTCACAAATGAGGAGGTCCTCAGAAGAATGAACAAGAGAGGACCACCCACATCAAAACTCGAAAGTTCCAATTTTTCGGAGATATTATGCGAAATGAATTCAGATATGCTCTCCTTCAAGCCATCCTACAAGGAAAAATATTTGGAAAACGAGGTCCAGGAAGAAGAACATCTTGGTGAGAGAACCTCAGAATCTGGTTTAATACAACATCTGTACAGCTTTTCTGCGCTGCTGCAGATAAGATAAAGATTGCCATGATGATCGCCAACATTCATAACGGATAGGCACATCAAGAAGAAGAAATGTCTATGGTTCCTGTAAATAAATTAAACCGGGTTAATTTTTCTATGCACACCACATAAAATGCCACTGAACAGCACTGGTTCCGTTTAAAACATGGCTGATTCCGTCTGCGTGAACGAGATGCGCATACTCATATTAACAAGTAGAGTGGGCATTCTGATTGTTTATTATTCTGTAGTACAACACAGTATTAATTTTAGATTTCCGCTTTACCAAAACAATGTTTAAAAAAGTATGTATTAGCAAACATTAAATTTGGTCCTGACAAATTTGGCCACGCATTGTTGTTATAGTGAGCTATCTCTTCTGGTCCATCTAAGTTCCATACAGGTCACATAATTGATGAAATTGATTAAATTTTTTTGTTTTTGTTTTTTTATTGATTCGTTAAGTAACCACCAATTCCACAAATAAATGTACATATATTAACTTTTTAAATTACATTATATGTTAACTATTATGCGATTTGAGATGATATTTCAAACTACCTATTTGAGTAAACTGCTTGAAACAAATTTGACACTTATGAGGTTTTTGTCCAGTGTGTGTCATTAAATGTGTTTTCAAAACACCGGTTTGAGCAAATTGCTTGAAACAAACATCACATTTAAAAGGTTTTTCTCCTGTGTGTATTCTCAAATGTCTTTTCAAATGACCCACATGAGTAAATTGCCTAAGACAAATGTCACACTTGACGGTTTTTCCTCAGTGTGTGTTATCAAATGAAATTTTAAATGTTGTGCAAGAGAAAACTGCTTACAACATATTTCACATTTGTACGGTTTTGCTGCAGAGTGTCTTCTCAAATGAGTTTTTAAATAATCTGAACGAGAAAACTGCTTGAAACAAAGTTCACATGTATAAGGATTTTCTCCAGTGTGCATTCTCAAATGTTTTTTTAAGCTGCCTGCTTCACTAAATTGCTTAAAACAAAATTCACACTTGTAAGGCTTTTCTCCAGTGTGGGACCTCATATGACTTCTCAAATTATCTGCACGAGTAAACAGTCTAAAACAAATTTCACACTTGTAAGGCTTTTCTCCAGTATGCACTCTCAAATGCCTTTTTAAATAGCTTAGAACAGTAAATTCCTTCAAACATGTTTCACACTTGTATGAATTTTCTCCAGTGTGTGTTATCAAAGATCTTTCAGATTTCATTTTAACCTTGTTCTGCTGAAACCCTAAAATAAAAATCAAATTATAATATTTTGCATGCAGAAACTGCAGATCATGAACAAAAAATACCAAATCTACAATAAAGGAATGAAGTAATAATTAAACTAAGACAAAAGTTCAGGTCATAATGTGCTGCAGAGAGATGTCAAGGATAGTTGCACTTTATTTATGCAATCGTTAAAGTATGTCTGCAGGTATTTTTTCTATTTTGACATTGTCTGATATAAACTTGTTGTATTGCTGCTAGTGGGCTTAGTATAAGGTTTATTGGGGATCAAATTGACGAGATTCATAAAAACATAAATAAAAACCTTCTCGCAGCCGGACTACAGGTCGCAAAGAAAAGACCAAGAGGAAGACCACAGATGAGATGGTGATGGCATTAAAAGAATAGCCGGAACAAATTGGAAATACGTTGCTCAGGATATTTATTCATGATACACATTATAGAATTCTGGAATCATGCAGCAGTTTGTACAATTGTCTCTTGGATGGGTTCTGTGCTACAAAGTCTGCAGTAGAAGTGTCTATGTCTGGTAAGGAAGCTTACTATCAATCATGTGATTGCTCATTGTGTTTTGTCTACAGTGAGTCAACGCGTTTAGAGTATGGCATGACTCTCCAATTATTTGCATTTATGATGTCTGACTGATACTTTCCCATAAAATTATGTAATATTCTCATTCAGGTGTTTCTGGTTGCAGGCAGTATACTCGGTTCGCTATTCCCAGTCCGGACTGTCTAGTGAATTTAGTAATTATTTTTTTGGGAAGTTAGTTACTTTTTGACAGACTAAAAGTGGCTGGAAATTACTATACAACCAAGCACACGTACTCATAGCCAATATTAATAGTAAACAAACTAAATAGTAAATAAAATATAACTTTGTGAGTCACCGATAATTAATATTTATTAATCTGCACCATATAATAAATAGTTATGTTAAATTATAACAACTAAATTATATTTTTTAAATATATACTACTCAAACTTTGATAGGTTTAGTATACACTTCCACTATTTAGAATAATTCTTCTTTTTTCAAAGAAAGAAGTCTGCAATAGTAGTATACTTGAGCTATTAATACTGAGAAGTAGGAATTGTTGGGTTGTAGGTTTCCGACAATGAATCTGTCAAAATATGCCCGAGCTAAGCGAATGGAGTATACCTACTTTTTGGTACTCCTAAAGCTAGCTCTGGATTGAAGTATTTTGCAGCTAATCCTCTGGTCAAGTGTATCAGCTCTTTCATTTTCATGTATTCTTTGATAACCTGGCACCCATAGAAATATGAAATTGCCGGTCTATGGAGTTTTTCTCAACATTCTATACTTAAGAATCAAATTTGTAGGCAGTAAATTCTCCGAACTGTGAATTCGATAAAGCAACAACATCGTTGCCAGTTTGTAATGATATATATTCTAGCAATTTATAATTTAATTATTGATATGCAGCAAAATTGTCATATTAGTGATTGTTTTGTATTTAAGGTATATAATAAAATGTATTTAGTAACATCAATATTTATGTATAATATTATATTTATATACAATATTTATATATAGAAAACATCTAAAGTACGATAATATTCTTTGTAAAAGTCATACATAACAACATCGCATTCTAGGACCGGTAGAAAGGAATAGTAGATCAACGTTGTCATAATATAGAAAGAGATAAATTGCTCATTGACTTCCTAGCTTAGCATTCAGTATCGGAGTAGCGTATCGTTTACACTGTTGCAGTGACTTTTAAAAATTAATCTTAATATAATATGATATGAGACTTATATTTAACTTTGAAGTGTATACTTCTTATCACAAAAAAACACTTACAAAAAAACATGTATTTTTGTTTGAAAACTAGGTTAACAAAATAAACTTACTTACATACGAAAGTAATCTTAATAAAATGGTTTGACCTCCAAAGGATGCTACTTGCCACTGCCACGTCAGTTTGGTGGGCGCTCTCACTTAGGGAGGTCACTGAAAGATGTATGTGGCGTCCTTCATCATTTTTAGTGGCGAATTTTGATTTCTCATCCCAAAAAACTCCAGCTTACCAGATTTCGTGTTGTTATACAAAAATAAAAGTTTAACTTTGACACAGTTTATTTTGGTTATTATAAACTTTCGTACTAAAGTTAGTTTAAATCGGCCTATTTTAATATAAACACCACATCATATTGAAATTAACATAATTATAAATAGGTACATATTTATTTAATATAAGTAACTTTGTCGTAACTTCTTATGATATTTTTCGTATGCCAATGAAAGACCTACAATAGCAATGAACCATAACTATTACTTCCAAGAATTTACTACCTAGATTTCTGAATTCTGACTTTAGTACAATAAGATTGTCATCAATGTTTGCACTTTTTCGGTTTATACATATTTTGTGACTTATCTCTGATATTACTTCCAAATATGTAGGTTAAATGAAGTCATTGAATATAGTTTTATACATATATATCAGTTAATCATATACATAATGTACTTATAGCATACTGTACTGTAAGCATTTTAAAATCAAATGATTGTAATTACTTATCTTACATACAAAGAAAACAGACAATTTAGTTATTGTAATTATATTACAAATGTAAATATATTGGAATGTGAATATACTTATATTCTAACAGATGATCTGGTAGATGAAAAGGGGGTTGAGGTTAATTAGGTATACAGCTAATTGAAAGCCAAGTGCACCTACTCTGTTTACCAGTTCATTATATTTTGCCAATTTACATTGGAATCATCAGATGAGAGCTACAATCATTTAAAACATGGTATAATTTGATAATTATTTGTTATTTTATATTTTACTTGATTAAGGTTAACAGTAGTGTGACAAGAGGTTATTATAAATAAAATCAACCTGAGCTTTTTCTGTTCAATGGCTAAATCAAGTGTTTAAAGAAGTTATTCCAACCTTTGCGTGCTCACTGTATGACTCAGGGTCCTACATGGACTATAAATTAGTAACATGCATGTATCTTTAGCACCAAACCTGGAAAACACACTAAATAAAAATGTTGTTTATACATCTCTTTCCCATGAACTATTATAATTTGTCCTACTTTTAGGTGAGTAAATTTACTTACTACGAACTGTTTGTTTCTAAAAAAGTTAAATTTGCCTGTACTAGAAATCTTTGATAGAGAGCACATATAAAACCTATGCAGGTACCTACTACCACTGGCGCTGTTATAAATAGGACCACACTAAAAAAACTATAAGTGGACTAAAACTTACTTTTTCTGCTAATTCTTGATATTAAGTTGGATGTTTTCATACTTCTGCAATGTTTTTTATCATCTATCTCAGTTGAAGTTCCTATCTCTAATTTTATATCTCTGTTTGAGTCTATTTTTTTCGTACTCCTATTGGATTGAGTTTCACACCCATGACTTGCTTCTAAGATGTGTACCTCCAGTTCTTTCTTAATTTCGGTCTTAACTTCTTGGATAACAAAACTATCAGATGGGTCATCTATTTGGTAGTGTAAAATATCTTGTTCTATTTTAATATCGTTAGCACAATACGCATCGGATTGAGACCCCTCTGTGTAATTACTTTCAAACTTGCATTCCTCGAATTCTGATTTAATGTTAGCATATCTCTCTACGGAATTTTCACCTTTACTAGATATTAATAAATTTTGTTCTGTAATTGTAGAATCTTCACAACCTTGATTTAACTCCATTTCTAATTTAACATGTTTAAATAATGGTTTCAATACGTAGGAATGTACTTTCATTTATATCAACTAATCTTTACAACACAAGCTTCTCGCACACACAGTATTAATAACAATTTATATTTTGTTTGTGTTTGTTTTTTGTTATGTATTTGTTGTTGTTTATTTATATACTGTGCTCTCGCTATTCTAATTCTAACCTCATTCCCTCATTATAGGAGAGCAGTGTTGCCAAATTGGTTGCCAATGCCAACAAAGCAGAGAACTACCAAAGAATATAGACGCTTAGCGCTTAAGCGTCTATATTCTTTGGAACTACGAACACATCACATATTGTGTGTTTTAATTTTATTATACATGTTAAAAACCAGAGATATACAAACACAGAGAAGCGACACTCATTTGAAGTTTCGTGGGTAAGCCGCCAAAAAACTAATAGTCAGTGGGCATATCACACAATATAAATTCTTAAATAAAATTGAGCATTTATGTTGACTTTCAATAAATATGAATTATTGCACTGAAAAAATAGTTACATGCAGGGCCTTTTGTTGACATTCTTAATGGTGTAATTATTTTTAATTTACAAAAGTTTGCAAATATATCGCACAACGCCAAGTAGTTTTGTAACAAAAGCCGGATTTGTAACAATTATTTCTCGTTTTTTTGTTAACTGCGGTTAGTACAACTCTTTTACTTGAAGTCAAAACGACGAACCATTGAACCTTCAGGCCAGATGCTGGAATTGAGAACTTAATTTTTATAATCCAATGGATATGAAACTTTCAAGTTTGCTTGGTACTCCGTAACCTTCAACTTCTAGCAGTAGAAATGTATATTTGGAGCATTTACTTTTAAATAATTGGTCAAATCTTCCGTTGTCTGTTGTGTAATTATATTATAGTGTAAATAAATAATTATTGATTGGATTAAGATTTATGTTTGTTTACTCTTAATATTGGCTATGAGCATGTGTGCTTGGTTGTAAATATAGTAATTGTCATCCACTTCTAGTTTGTTAAAATGTAACTAACTTTCGCAAAAAAATAATAACTGAAATACTAGATAGTTGTGTCTGTGATTAGCGAACTGACTATACATACATTACATACCAGTATCATTGTATATCCAAGATGGACGCAGCTACAAAATATCAGATTACATATTTTTTTACAACTACTTCAATATGGATATCAAATGAAAGGGCTTAACTAGTAAAAAGAATTCATTATAGAAAATCCAAAATGGCCGCAAAAATTTTTATTTCCTAAAAATACTATATTCGAATTGTTGTCTTCGAGCGCGCTAACATCCGGCCACCATCTGTTGATTTTTTGACATGAGCCTTCGAAAATACCAAATTTAATGTTTCAATTTTGAACTAGGTATGCCTTGGCAGAACAAAGTTTATTTTTTTATTGCTCCATTTAACGAGAGCTCGGACGGACACGTCGGCGTCGGCTTACTATTCGAAAGTCAAACTAATACTATTATGTAATAACTAATAATAATTACAAACCAATAGTAATTACCTAGCTGTTATTATTCTTAGGAAATCTAAATAAACTTATTGCTTTTCCTGTCACAGATGAACATCCGTGAAACGCACAATCGCCTCTTATCATCAGAATGTAGTTTCTGCCTACGTTTTCACAAGACTCTTTTAGTTGCTCCTAGAAGTCTAATTAGTCTTTAGGTACTATTTGTATCTTCTGTTGGAGCATAAATGTTTATTATCGACATATTGGCTTGTGTGCTATTGATTTTAACGTATGAAAGAAATTTTTCCACTAACTGCTCTGAAATTCATGATTCTGACGAATAAAAGCTTTGCGAAGAACCATAAAAATGTGGATATAATTACAATTTTAAATATAAAAAATCTTTGTTAAGTAAAAAACTTGTATAATTGTCTAATAGATGATATCTGCACATTTTTAATAACTTAAATTAAAACTTAAGTGTATTTTGGGATGCTAATGCCTTTTATATAAAAAATATAAATATTATATACTATTATACCCTAGTTATCCTATCGTTTACACTCTAACCATTTCTTAGAATGTGTCAAACTCTACATTATAAAATTTGTTGTGTAAACGTGCTCTAGAATGAAACTATGTCATTCATGATGTTGGGAATTTTCTAAAATATAGTATTTTGAACTCTATTGAACATATTGGGTTTACACCTGCGATTGTTCTGTTATAGTTTCTATACATGTGATAATTTTCTTAGTTTTTATATCTTGAAACATAGTCCTGTATCGGAATCGTCCAGTAATGGGAAACACATTTTGTTGTGACTGCTCAGTATTGAAAACCAAATTCTTTAAACTATAGTTTCCCTGAAAGAAAACGAAACAGATCAGAATTTTTAGATAGTAGGAATGTCCAGAGAAAGAAAGAAATACTACTATTATACATTTCCATAATTTTTGCTGTAATCTCTATCTTCACGTTCTCTCCTGTTCTTTCTATCGTCTATTCTTTCTATATGTTACAGTTTTTTCGTTACCTTCTATTTCCAAACGAAACTGGCTCTTCTTATCGGCTTATATTCTTAAATTTATTTATAGGGGAACGACGGGCAATAGCGAATAGCAGAGAATATCTACGCCAACTATATTATTTCGTTGTAAACTGAATTTCGTACTTCCTAATAGCCTGCACCATAGACGTATATATTAACTTAGGCCGAGCATACTATCCACGCATACTGACGACAAGTTCTCTTGTGGTTGTTTGATCTGTCTCTCTCTAACATACTGAAGCTTTCTCTCCCGCCAAAAGGGACGCTGCTAGACAGTTAAGATTAAGTAAGACAGAGACACAACAAACAACGAACAAAAGATGATATCGTCACTTAACTCTACAGACTGCTCAAAGTGTTCAGTCTATGTTAATATCTAGGTACTGTCCGTTGCAAGATAATTCGTATGGAATTCCCCAGATTAAGAGACTGGGTCGATAGCAAGCACAAAATGATTATACTCCCTTAATGCTGTAAAAACTAGTCACCCTTAGTCTTTCGTTACGTTAGGTTTAATTTTAAATTTTATCCAAAGTTTAAAAATACTTTACTAAATGATACAAAGAAGGTGTAGTCAGGTACGTATTTTAATTTTGAGTTGTTAACGATTGGTAAATGAAATTTTAAGCATAATTTTGTGTACCTATTTAAATTTAATCAGTTAATTGCATTTGTACTTCATGGAATTCAGAATTACAGATTTCTAGGTACGTAAAGCCAGTGTTTATAAGAGATTAGCAAATTTCTTGGAACTTTATTCAGGTAAAAAGATAATATTACATTACTTTACTAAGATACTTAATATCAAATTATCACTAAATGGGCTTCTGTGAAAAGAAAGTTTATTTGAAAAGAACTTCATTTTTCTTTTGTCGTTTATTTAGAACAGAAGTCAGTGTAATAACTATAAATATGAGTAATATCGAAATGATTAGTGACGATGTCCTGTAAATTCCTGTCACTATTTTAGGAAGTAAGGACGAGTCTGAACCTAATCATCAGCAAATGCCAAACACTGGTGCTCATTTTTCATGATCGTTTCTTCCACCTTTATGCTGCATTCTCTGATTGCAGTTTCTAATACTAAGTTGAATAATGTAGTGGATAAAGGATCTCCCTGTCTCAAGCCTTTTGCAACCGTAAATTGATCTGATATGTGACCCTGCCAAGCAATTTCACACGTAGAGTTATTAAGTGTCATTTTAACTAGTCCGATTAGTTTCTTTGGTATATCCAAATGTTCCATTGCTCGATACATTTTGACTCTATCGACTCTATCATATGCTTGTCTAAAATCCACAAACAAAATATGCAGGGGAACTTTACCTTCATAACAAGTCGTTTGTATCTCCTTTAATGAGAAGATTTGGTCTACAGTAGATCTGTCCTTTCTAAAGCCGGCCTGATATTCTGTGTAGCAATTTAGTTTATTTCTCAATATTATTGCCAAGGTTTTGTATACCGTTTTTAATAAGGCTATACCTCTCTGAAGTTGTCACACTTCAGTTTGTCGCCTTTTTTATGCAGAGGGCATATGCGGGCCTAATACTACTCCGATGACATTACTTCCTTTTCCCATACTTGCACTAGTAGCTGATATATTTTTCTTTGTAGCTGTTCTCCACCAAACTTGATCATTTTTATGCATATATTATTTTTACCAAGACTTCTGTTATTTTTCATTTCTTGTATTACTGTCACCACCTCCTCCTCTGTAGGCTGTCTTTCAACTATCGCATCTTCTCCAACTGTCCAGTTGTCTACTGCTTCGTGGTCCTCCTCACCATTTAATAATTCTTCAAAATGTTTTTTCCATTCCGTCATTATTTCTGCCGGATCGCTAATTATATTTCCGTCTTTACCTTTCATATAACTACAGTGGCTTTGGTAACATTTTCTCGTCTTTTTAACTTCTTGATAGAACGACCTCACCTCTTTGTTTTTAAACTTCTCTTCTATCTCTTTTAATTTCAACTCATTGTGGTTTCTCTTTTTCCTTCTACACAGAGCTTTCAATCTTCCTCGAACAATTCTATATTCTTGTTTTTTACAGAAATTACAGATATTAATAAAAACGTTAGGCCTGGGACGAGAATTCGCCCCACCCGGTATTAGGAAGGTTAATCATATTTACTTTTTCTTCTTCTTAAAGTGCCTTCTCCATTACTGAAGGTTGGCTATAACTACGGCAAATTGCTCTTTATCTTAAGCTGTTCTTAGTATCGAATGTGTATCCATGCCTGTCCAGTCTCTTACATTCTTCAACTAGGAGCATTTTCTTCTTTCTGGACCTCCTCTTCCTTCCACTTGCCTTTCCACTATAAGTTGTAGGAAGTTGTATTTTTCTCCTGTGTAAATATGTCCTAGATAACTAGTTTTTCTGTTTTTTACAATATTTGAGAATTCTCTCTCAGTACCTATTCTTCTTAGCACCTCGTTGTTGGTTACGTGCTCTATCCAAGAGATCTTTAGCATCCCTCGAAAAACCCACATCTCAAAGGCTTCTATACGCCTCATACTTGTAATTCCGAGAGTCCATGTTTCCACTCCGTATAGCAATATGAAATAAATAAACGTTTTTACAAATTGGTATCGGATATCCAACAATAACGTAGAGTTTATTAGACATTTTTTTATTCGTTGAAATGCGGACATAGCATATTCTATACAAGCACGT